CGTAGGCGAGACTGACAGGCTTGCGCCCTGCACACACATCACACATGAAAATAATTAAGCCAAAAATACTTCAAATGCAATTTTATTACTTGCCTCTTCAAAACATAACCACTAACAAACGAAAACAATTAAAGATAGCATGTCTCCAACGACGCATAATATTTATTCAAATGCGATATGTTCCACGGTCGTGGCAACAACCGCCCCTATATCAATCAACTTCCATTAGCTCGTCCCGAAGCTGATTCCCAACTCTTGTTTCTTCTCCTGACGGGAGCACTCAAGCAGGTCATCATTCTTTCTCTTATGTTGTGCCTCGACCGTCTTCAATGTGATCTCATAGCACCGCCGAGACTCCAACTGGTCTCCAGTCACCTCCCCAACCTCATCTCCTACGGGGAACTTGACCTTCATGCAGTAAGTAGAGATAGCTGCTTGGAATGAATTCAAGCTAGGCCGCCCAGTATGATGTTGTAGGCCGAGCTAGCATCTACGACCAAGAAGCAAACCATCTTCACCTTCCTCAAAGGCGACCTCCCCAATGCCACAGTTAAACTAATTTCACCAACGGGACGGACCTCACTGCCACTGAAGCCATAGAGAGCAGTATGGACCGACTCGACCTTCACGTCTAACTCCATCTGTTGCAAGCACTTTAGGAAAATGATGTCCACCGAGCTCCCTGTGTCTATGAGTACCCTTTGCACCTCGTAACTGGCCACCTCCGCAGTGATGACCAAGGCATCGTTGTGTGGGACGGCGACCCCCTGCACATCACCAGCTCCAAACTTCAAAGTGGCCAAGCTCTTCTGCACATGTACCTCAGCCACCTCATTAGCCACACCCTTACCTCGGTAGGTCCTCTTCCTCTCTCTATGTGAGTCTCCATCCGTAGGACCTCCCGCGATCATGTGTATGACACCTTTCTTCACCAGTCTGTCAAGCTGCTCATCGGTCCTCCGCCGCTTGTCCCCTGACTCACGCTCATCCCGACGATCTTCTTGGCGCTCCCTATCCTTGATCACGAACTCCTTTAAATGTCCGGCCCTAATGAGCCGCTCAATCTCATCCTTCAACTCGCGACAAAAGTTAGTAGAGTGACCATAGTCTCGGTGGTACCGACAATATCTATCATTTCCTTCTGAAAATTTCCGCGGTGGGGGTAGGGGCTTTGGTTGCTTGAGCAGCTTATCCTCCCCCCGCTTCTCCATCACCTCCAAGATCTCCTGCTGTGGAGCATTAAGTAGTTTGTAGTGCTCGTACCTCGGTCCCCTGAATCGATCCTCGATTCGAGACTCCTTAGGGGGAGCTCGTCGATCACCTTGTCGAGGCCTGTCCTCAACCTGCTTAGCCTTTATTTTATCATTTTAGATGAAGTCTGCATCTGATTCCTCCATGTTCACATATTTGCTACACCTCTCAAGTAACTCGTCAAAGGACCTTGCCGGCCTCTTCGCTAGTGAATCTCTGCACTTCCCCGGCCTCAACCCCCGTGTAAGGCCTCCAGCTTTGATCTCCTCCGAGGCAGAGGGAACCTCCACGCACTCTTTGGTATACCGCGCCACGTATTGCCGCAAAGTCTCCCCCTCCTTCTGCTGCATATTGATTAGTGAGAGATACGTCTTCTCGTGCTTCCTGGCGCTCGCGAACTGGTTCAGAAACAAAG